AAAATTCACTGTGGCAACTGGACCAAGCAAAGGGTACTCTCATGCTACGTGGCCACTTAGTTCGGGTTATTACAAGGAAACGCGCGATCTAAATTAAAATCTTTCAACTTACCCGTGTACTTAAAAGATGGAACTTTAATTTAAAACACAGATTTTGAGTTCCCGCGCACTAATTCATTAACAATATTAATCGGAAATACACTTTGGGTACTGTTTATGAATTTGTACGATTTTGGGTTGCTGTGCCCAAACGCGTGAATCGAATCAAAAACCTTTTACACATACTTGTAGACAACAGTTCACGCTTTATTACAAAAATTTAATTTACTAAATCTGTGCGCTAATTTAACAATAATGTCGTTTGGAAATATGGTATTTGTTGCGAATTTCCGAAATATACGTACCCTGATTACTCTTATTATGCCTTAAAACAGCCGCTTAATATCTTAATTTGTATGTTTATATTTAGTTTACACGTTACACTATTAGTTGTTAGTTGTTTTATTGCTATAGTTCAAACTTATTTGTCGCAAAGTGTTAATGAAAATTATTATGAAACAAACGTTCATGTGTAAAGCGCGCAAATTAAATAGCTGGAGTTGAGCTGTCAAAAAACTGTCAAACAGCTCTTCGAAACTTCGAATTTCCTGCTCCCAAATTTTCGGGGAAAATTGTGCTCCCTGGCAGTTTAGAATAGGAGGATTTTATTCTCGAGAAAAGTAAAATCCGCGAGAAAAGAAATCCTCGGGAATATTCAGAATCGGGCCGTGTATCAAACAAGTACAATTGTACCAAAAATGCCAACACTGTTCTGTATACATACTTTTTCTTCTTTTCTACTTTTTACTCTTATTTTATCTTTCAGCTTCGCTAAAAGCACTTCTACGAACGCTTGGCTTACCAAATTTACGCCAATTGATAAAATTTTGCGATTTAAATTCATTTTAAATAATGTAAATAACTATTCGTGTTGAATTGAAAATCGCCTCGTCTGAATAGGGATAGCAACTTTTTCACTTTCAACTTCTCATTCAACTCCGCATTCAACTTTTGTTGCCTGTAAAATCGCCTCGTGCGAATGCCCTATAAGGCACGAGCCTTTCCTTCTATCACGGGCAAAAATTACAGTGATATCGTGAATCTCGCCACAATGGTATCCAACCTTGTTGCTTTTCTGGAAAACGCCGGTGCTTTGCCTCATCTCTCAAATCCAACGCTATTAGAGGAGCTTGTAGGTAAATTACCACTTAACAAACGCGAAGATTGGGCTCGCCATATATTTTCAATTAATAAAATGTATCCAACTATCCAGGAATTTAGTATCTGGTTGCAACAAACGTCTGTGTACATCGCCATGGCTACTGAAATTAATACGTCAAAATCAAATGTAAACACAGATCAGCTGGTGCAAAAAAGTAATAGATTTGCGAAACAAGTGTTAACCATAGGTAAAGAATGGTATGAATGCCAGCTTTGTAAATCCGATCACAAATGGTACCAATGTTCTAATTTTAAAGAGGCAGGATATGATGAGCGCTGGGAGGTCGTCAAAAACAATCGCTTGTGTTTTTGTTGCCTTTCCGCAAATCACAGCTGGGGTGTTCACAGTTCGTTCCAAATTGTGTCTGAAAATGTAGACGT